AAAACTGTAGCCGTCATTTTTTAATCTTGATTTGTGTCTTCTGGATGTTCACTAGATTGACATCTACTCTGAAGCAGGAGTGCCCAAGTGCAGACCAAAGCATAACAGTTCTGTGCAAAAACTGCATCTGGAACTAAGCACAGGCCACATTCTCCACCCTACTATGCTCCCCATCAACTGACATCCATCCCTCAACAGTTATATGTGGATTACCCTTTGCACAGGTCCCCCGTTGCAATCCACTCCTGGATGGCCTTCTCAAACACAATGACTAGAACTACACCTGGAGACGCAGCAGTGCAAAGGCCAAAGCAACACAGGACCCCGCATGACCAAGAACAGATATGACTTCATTCACCACTAGCCTGCTGCAAGGTCAGTCCCTGCACCCCAAGTAACCAGAAGCAGGCTATACTGCAAGACTCGCCTTTGTGGTAGACAGGCAGACCTGAGAACACTCTATGCTCCTGACAGCTCCCAAGAGTTATGTGGCCTGTAAGACCCAAAGGAATACTAGCACAACAAATGCTTTGATAAATGCACTGCTCTTGTTGACCGCCCCAGTGGCTGAAGCAGACAACTTTTGGAGCTCAATCTCACAAATTCCCACATGTAGCCACATGGAAGGATGGGTTAAACCAGTACAGCTTCATGGAACAATTGCAGTGTATTCCTGGTGGTCTTGCAGACCTTCAGTGGTCTGTAGGCTACAGTCTAGAATCAAATGCACAAAAGTATTTAGAAAGAGAGAAGAAACCTGAGCTGAGTACTTGTAATCCCAGTTATTCCTTACTGCGTGCTATGTAAAAACAGTATTGTTCACTGCCACCTTGCAGAATGGAGTTCTTAAAATGTGTCTGGAGACAATGAAGTTCTAATCCTCTGCTACCTCTTGTCCTTTCCACACAGTTGGACTTTAACAAAAAAGAAAGATTCCTTTTTAGTGGACTTCAGAAACATTGAGAAAAGAAGTTCAGCTCTTGCTCTCCTCCTTTAATTGAGCTCTAGGTTACTCTGCTTGCAAGGACAAAGGAGATGGTTGCACAGAAACTCCAGAGGCCACCTTTGGTCCTATATCCTGTTGCTAATGAAAAGGCTTTAATAATAAAAACAGGAGTCAACATATTCTTTTCTTCAACAACAGAAGTCTGTAAGAAGAAAAGATGGATTCTTCCCAGTTTTATAAACAGAATGAAAGGAATTCCCTCTCACCCCACACTCTCCTTTTCTGAGCTCCTAAACAATCACATTATAGGTCTTCAGTTTCTCAAACTGGGATAGAGACACACAAGAGTTCTTGCTTCACTCCTGCACTTCTTGAAAAAACAACTCAGACACTTCCCATACTTCTGGCAGGGTCAGAGAACCAAGCTTTGCTAACCACAGGATGAAACATGCAGATAGCTTACAATGTAACATTGAATACCTGAAACATGGAGAAATCCACTTCTCTATTTCAAGGTGTCATTTACTGTCCAGGATGACCCTTTTGGGTTTAGCCTAAATCCTCAAACTGCAGTTTCCACAAACAGAAACAGACTTCCTGGAATAGCTAAGGGCATCTCCTACCTTTCTGCACAGTTAGAAAGTCAACACCTCAACATCCCATCACACTTCATCTTCAGTTCTGTAATCCTGCTCATGGAAGAGAGCACAGTGAAGGCATCACAGGAGATAAAATGAGGAGAAATAAGCTAACACTGCAATGACTCAATAGAAGAGGGGAGAGGTGATTTTTCTGCCAAGAGATAGTACAACAAAAAATCTGTCAGCTCATTCCTCTGCAGCACACAGATCTCAAACTGCATTTTAAAGCATCATTGTCCTCCTCAGTGAAGTCACTCCACTGCCTTCATTTGAAGCCTGCATAGTTACTCAGACAAGTGCATAAATTGTTATTTTTCTGTTACTATAATCATAGTCATTCATCATCTCTGGATTTAATCTTCCTCAAAGATTACTGGATCTAAGCATGAGACATATAAAGGAAAGACAAAGAGACCAGGACAGACAAAATTAAACATCCCTGTCTCCACTCAGCACTAGAGTTGCCACGTACAGCTCTGACTGCTAACACTTGGTTGATTTAGAGCAGGTTTTCTTATCGAAATCACTAAATACAGAGGTATACAAACTGAACATAAGACCTTGGAGGGACAGGTTAGAAACTCCTGAGCTAGGTTTAAACCAGCTAGTGCTTGTATGGCTGCAGTAGCATGGTCAGCCTTGTCACCAGACACATCACATTGTGTTTTTACCCTGGGAAATTATCAAGTCTGAAGATGTCAATCTGAGGGTCCTAGCACAATAACAATTCAGGTACCAACTTCTACCAGTTCCCATCATCTGCTGCTCACATTCTTTATTGGATCTGGCTCTTATGAACTAAAAAGTGTTTGTTAGAAGAACAAGCATATGTAAATAAAGGAAGAGAAACACTTGAGAATGCTTGATGATGCAAAGAAAAGGATAACAAAAATAATAAAAAAGCAAATGTAATAGTTAATAAATTCAAATAGCTAGGAATAATTTTCAAATATATTCTTGTAAGGAAGACAATTCTTTAGCACTATCACATCTTCACATAAACCATGCTAGGGAAGTGCAAAGTATGATTTCAGCAGCAGCATCCAAGCATGCAGCATACTAAGAAGCACCAGCATGATAAGGCCCACAATCCATCTATGACTGGAAACTTTCCCTTACACATGGGAAACCCACAACTGTATGCGCAAATGCTGCTGTTTGAACAGAATGGCATGGGCACAATCTGAATTTCCAAGAGAGATACCAAGTCAGACTAAAGGTCTGTCTAAACCTGGAAGCTGTCTCCAATGATGCCACTGATGGGATGAAGAGCACAGAAGAATAGTCACAAATCCCCTAAAATATTGCTCCACCTTTCAACACTTTATGACTGTATTTAGTATTATGCCAATAGATTTTTCTTCTATATTTTTCCCCAAATCTTCAAATCCACATAATCTTTCAGCATCCACAAATCATGTTGCAAGGAGTTCCTCAGTCTTCTCACACATTGTACAGACTCCTCCACTGCTACACACCATGTATATTTAATGTATCCAGTTCCTATATTGGAAGAGACAGTGAACAGTAACTGTCTCCTTTATGCCACCTTGGACAAACCCTTGGTCATCTGTTTTCCATGCTGAGGACTCATGTTCTGAATATTTTACCTTTATCTGTAAATACTTTGCTCCTTCAGCTTTTGGGACAATATTATTTTCCACAACAAAGAAGAAATCAGTTTCCTCAGACAGGCAGTGTTAGTGCGAAACCCAGAATTCCATGGCAAATGGGTGCAACCATTTTTCTGCACAGTGGAAGCGAACAGCTTCTCTTCTCAAGGAACTCCAAGTTACTCCAGTTGACTGGGAACTGATAATATACAGGGAACACACTCGAGACTTTTTCCACATACTGAATTTATTCTTGGCTAGCCACCCAGTTTAGCTTTACATTAGAACCCGGACTTCAAGGCTTGCATTATGTATAAGAATCCAGATAAACTTACAGCATTAATTATTCCACACATAAGAGAACCCACCATTAGCAATTCAATGTATCATTTACATCATAATAGTAATTACAATTCCCTTTCTTCCAATAAATTTGGGCATAACAACTGCATCACTTTGCCATTTTGATTCCTTGCTCTTAAGTTACAGCTTCACAGGTATGCTCCTATTAACTGCAACAATTACAAAAATGAGTTTTATCACATGAACTTTTGACTGGGATCCATTACAGTGTCATTCTGCCCCTCTCACTGCATCTAGAATAACATGGTTTCAGAGTTCAGGGTGCTTTGTAAAAGCACTTTATCTGCCATGGATATGCCTGGGGTACTAGCTTCTCACTTTACTATGTGAGACATGTTCCAGAAATCTATCAGAGTTAACAGAAATTAACACACAGAAGAGGAGGTTTTGGTGTTGTCAGTGACAAACACAATCACATACAAGTACTAAGGTGTTGAGCAAGGAGTGTTGATGACACTATTTTAGTGAGCTTGTAAAAATCGTGCTTTTGTGCACAGAGCAACCTTGGCAAATAGTTCAAAATTTAAGTATTAAAGACGATATAAGAGTGGAAGAGGGACACATGGGGTGAACACCAATAAAATGAGCAGAGATGAAAGTCACAGCCTCCTATTTTAGCAGTGTCAAATAGCATTTAAAGGCCTATCTTGCACAAATGGCCAGGGGAATGAGACATCTAGGGAGGACAGGAGTCCTTCCCATTATTAGACTCAAAAGAAAGAATAGAAGAGAGGTCCTCCAACTCAATGAGGAAGAACTCCTGGGAATCTGGCTTACTGGAGCCATAGTAACAACAGGGTAATAATTCAGCAGCAGGGAATGATGAAGAAGATCAAGGTAACCATCAATATTCAGTGAGCTCAATGGTATTAGAAGTGAAAGGCACAGCAGACAGACATATAGAGGCTATGAAATGATAGAAACAGTGATCAGAAAGAGCCATAACAAAAAGTTAACAGGACAAGCTAATAAAAAAAGGAAAAAAGGCAATGCCATGCATGAAGGGATGATTTCCAGGAACTGCCACCATGTTAAACACATTCTATTTCTGGGGGAGAGAAAGGGCTGGTCAAGTTACAAGGTGTAGAGATGCAGCCCTCTGAATAGAGGGCTGCCTGCTAGGCTGCCTGCTCCCTCACTGCAACACTCCAGCCCATTCAGCTTGAAGCCATGGCCACCACCCCTCAAGATGGAGCACAGAGTGCTTACCCAGCAACCTCGTCAGGGCTGCACTCCCCTACTAAAACGCAAGGACATTCACTAACAAAGCCCTCAGCTGAGCAATGTCTCAACATGCTGTCACAGTCTACAGAATCAATTTATTTATTGTTACAGAATGCAAGACAAAGATCTCAAAAGCGCCCTAGTCCTAGAGCTCCACCAAAACAAGCTAACCCAGTATGTTCAGATTTACAAAAGAAATGTGCTCATTTTCAGTTAAGCTGCTTTCCCAATGATCAGCACACTCATAAAAAACACCATGATAAAGAAAATCCACATGAAAAACCTGTCCATCACTTTTGCGACTTTTTTCCACTCAATTCCTTTGGCCCGGTTTGCTTTATGGTCTCGAACACAATTAGCAATATACTCAATATTTTTAATCAGCATTTTATAACAGGAACAGCAATTAACAGTCTCCCTAACATTTTCACCATGAACTCCATAGCTTTTATTCAAGTTTCCATTGAGCTTCTTGTCGAGATCACAGTCATCATTCCTATTGGAAAGGTGACCCCTTACCTCTTTGTGCCTTCTCTGACACTCATCATACCCCTCCAACTTACGTTGTTCTTCCTTCTCTCTTTTTGGACTTGTGCAATTTTCACCCACGTCATAAACAAAAAATATTTTTGACATGTAGTCCAAAATAACCACCCTGGCCCATTGTGGAACAGGCTTTGCTTCTGAGCCACAGTGATGGAGATTCATTATAATGATCGTCAATGCAGTGGAAGCTGTGATCATGGTCATAGTTGCTATGTAATACTTTCCTGGAATACAAAATAAAATCATATTAAAGATGCTACTCTAATAAAAAATTCAATGTAGAATTAACAATATGACAACATAGTGCTAACCATAAGTGCAAGTGAAACAAGTTTTCAATCACCCTGATTCTCTACACTTAGATCACAATTTGTCAATTAAAAACAAGGATTAAAGCAAAACCACATACTCATCTGATAAAGGCATGACAGTAATGAGTGACTATTGTATTAGTATGGTAAATATCTGCAAGCCAAACCCTCTGATTTCTCAAAATACATCCATTCAGAAAACAGCTTAAAAATGTTTATCAGGACCCTTACTCTTTTCCTGGTGTCTGTGAAATCCCAGTGCTGATGGCTTCATGTGGCACATAAGAAATCCCATTGCCTGATGTATTAACAGAAGTGGTGGTAACATTTTGTTGGAGCTATTGACACACCCCACACCAGCAGACAGATGCCTTTGCATTCAGACCTTGCTGGTGTCCACAACTAGCATACTGACAGCTAAGAGGCCAGGCACAGAGCTGAAGGGTGGCTCCGTTGCCTGTTGAGATTTGCTGTCTGGATTTTCTTCAGACTGTACAAATTTTAGCATAGCTAGTCCAAACAGGGACAAAGCTCATTCTGGCCAGGGACAGGAAATACAGTAAATGCACACTGAGCCCCTCAGCCACTGGTTTTCACAACCGAAGTGCGCAGCTGACCAGCTAACCTAGTGTGGCTTGTGCCTGTGCAAAGAGGCACCTCCCAGCCCTGCTGCTGTGCAGCTTCTGCAGGAAAAGTAAGGGCTTGCATTGATGACACAGGATGTACCACAGACAAGCATGATGTGATCCCAAGTTTTCAAAGCGGTTGGAAAGCATGGTGAGGGAGAGAAGAGAAAGCAGACTGAGGTTAGGTCCTGGTTCCTTAATTTACACAGCATGACAGGAGGGTAGGAAAGGTTCTCCAGTATAGCAAGCCCATATTCTAGGCAGGACTAGTTGCTGCTGGTGCAGGAAATGCATTCAACTTTCCTAATCATTGACCAGTGTTTTGTCTCAGTTAAGCCATGCAGGTTTTCATATAAACAGTAACAACAAGAATAAAAATAATGAGATCTGAATTATCTTAATGAAGCTGGAAGCCAGTGTGGAAGCAACTGCGTTCCCAGCCCTCCAGACATCCCACCAGGGCAGCTGGGCAGCCTCCTGACCCAGGGGGTGGATCAGCCAGTGGCAGGAGGGTCCTGGCAGAAGGCAGACCAGACAGCACTGAACATCACCCTTCTCACTAGACATCACCTCTTTGGAACTCTCAGACATAAATTAAAATTCAGCACAATGGATTGCCAGGCATTACAATTCAATGTAACAATTGTCAGATATTAAGTCAACCCTGAGTGTCCCAGCCAGACCATGCAACCATCTGGATCTGACAGAAACAGATCTTGAAACAGTCTGCCCTTGCGTGTGCAGCTCTTGCTTACACTTTGTACACTGGTTTTAAAATTGTTTTCCATTACTAGCTTTATTACAGTATGTGATAAAATAATTTAAATGTCTAATTATATTTAATAAATACAAAATAGCTAGCTAATATATAATTTAAAATAAACACAAAATAACTTTGAAGAGCTTCAGCATACCTGTACAAATTCCACACATTTTAAGTATTCCACTATGTTTTAAAGATGCAACATCTTTATTTTCCCAGAAGCCACAGATTGCATATGGTCTCCCTGACATAAAACCCTGCTATTAATAAGCCATATTTAAAGACAAAGTGCATAAAGCTCACCTATCAAAGGTACATTTTCAGAAGGAGGCATGATCTCTGCAACCATCAGCTGGAACACAGTCAGAGCAAGAAGAACCGTAACACCCAGAGACACTTTTTCCCCCGAGTCTGCAGGGAGATAGAATCCCAGTGGGGCCAGGAAAGAAATCAAAATGCAAGGCAGTAACAGATTAAATATGTAGAATGAAGACTTCCTTTTCAAAATCAGTGTGAAGGTCACATCTGGGTAAGGCTCAGAGCAGCAGCCATAAGTGATGACATTCTTAACTGCTGGCATACCATGAATCTCCCATTCTACATCTTCTACGAAATCAGAGAGGTCACCACTATCAAGAGAGTTGATGTCTACCTGATTACCATTGTAGGTCCAGGAACCAAATGTAAGGTTGCACTGCTGGCTGTCAAAAGGAAAGTAAGATACATCCACTACACACGAGCTCTTTGTGATAGCGGGTGCATCCCAAGTGATTTTTCCATCATATCTCAACACAACATTAGTATTCACTGGTTCTGAAAAGTCATCATCAGCCCTAAAAGACAAAAAAGTGACAGTCAAGATCAACAGACAACAACTTAATGTGTGGGCTGGGAAGACCCTCACTTCACACCATTAAAAGCATGCTTCCAAAATCATATTATTTATTTATACTGAATCTAATTAGGAACTTACTATTAACTAACAGGTACCAGTGCCCATTAATGCCAAACATCATTGCTGCTAAATTGTGTTGGTTTTCTTGGCCATAGATTCTTCAAACTTGACCTCAAACAGGGTACAGTGGGATAAGAATCCATTCAAAGATGAAAATGATCTGCTGGGTCACTACTGGTCTGGGAGAGCAGACAAGGAGTGCAGCCTTTGTGTACTGCCTTTCTGTGGATACACAATATTCCAGAGCTCTTCAGCAGCAGCAGCAGAAAGTGCTTCAGACTGCCACAGTATTCAATTCCCAGTGCAGAGAAATTCACAACAGCTTTGCTGTGCAGCATAATCAATTGACAAATGCTGTCTATGGTTTTATTGCAAAATATTTAGATGATCAACAACAAGCGTTAAGACAACAAACTCCTTGCTAAAGTAAGGTGAAGTGATGAAAGTTCAGGGTCTGTTGGTCAATTCCTCCTTCAACCCCCTCCCTCCCTCAGACATTCAAGCTGTTTTTCTCCAGTCACACTCACTTGTTATATAGGACAATATCTGGTCTCCAAACCAAATTACTTGGAATCCTGATAGAATCCAACCCATCATATTTATCTTTGTCCCATTTGAGGTATGCATCATACCAGCTTTGTCGAATCCATAAGTAAGCTGACAAAATTTGGTTCCTTTCATCCTGCATGAAAATGTAGAAATATTTCTAGCTGAAGGTAATAAAAATCACATCTTAGATGCAGACGGCATTTGTTGTGTAGCTTTAAAGTACTGCCCAAAACAAGCCAGAATGCTGACAGGCCACAAGAGTACTTCTCAGACAGGTACACATGCCCATAAACTGCACGGGGAGCTTACTTATTTGGACTTTCTCTTGCCCAAACATTCTTCCCCCTACACCCTCCCTAGCTTTAATCATATTTGTCTAAGGCTCCTAGTATCTTAAGAGTTTCCTTTTGCAAGCTTCAGAATACCAAACAGCTAACAGATTCAGCCTAACAGTTCTCTCAAAGCTTGGTGAGGCCTTGAAGTTATAATTCAGAAGTCAATGTGATTCTGTTCTCCTTCCAGACATTTTCTTTTGCCTTAAAAGTATATCTGGCTGAACCAAATTTATAAAAAAAAGTTACTGAAGGCTAAAATAGAAAGTTTATGTAGAAATTGATTGCATCTTAGAAAAAACTTTTGCTCTATTTAAAATGCAGCAAAAGTTGCCTGGAGGGTGCAATACCAACACCTAACTACAAAAGAAGTCTTAATTCAGCAGCTGTAAGTTTGCAGACTCATAACAGAAGTCTTAGTGTTGCAATCAGATGAGAATCTACAAAGATTCTTTGTAGAGAACGTGATCCTTGTGAGGAAGCATTACTGAAGTTGTCACAACAAAACACAAGTTGCTTTTCCTACTCCAAGCAAAAGGTTTACAGCTAGTACATTGCAGCACATCTTCAGAAAAACAGAACTGTACTCTTACTCACCATGTCTTTAATTTGGGACAACGTGATCTGAAGGGTGACATTCAGCACATTATCTGTGTCTTCCACTGGTCTTAGAGCATTTGAGTAGTCTTCAAACAGTTCATTAAACAGCATGTGAGCATATTTTCCTTTGGCTGATTCTACAGCTAGATAACATATTTGTTCAGTACATCAGATAAGGCACTGAGCAATATCGGAAAATACTCCCTTTCTACAGCTTCAAGTAGTATTTGCTATATTTATCATTCATATACTGTAGAATATATCATTTAGTGCAGAAACAGAACTATGCCTGATGAAGCTACTTGAATAAGGACAGCATTCACCTGTAGTAAATGAATAGCTAACTCTAGCTTTTCACACCCATTGAAAAAAGCCTCTGCATCTAGAGATTCCTCCCTTTTTTGAAGGTAAATATCATTACCTTTATTTTACTGATGTCTTTTATAGGCATAGAGATTAACTTACAGTCACACATCTGCCAAGCTAAAATTAGAAGCAAAGTCTGAAGTCAAATCTGCTCTCAGGCTAATGACTTGTGATATATCCCTAAATGCAGCACTAATAGATTCATGCTACTTTCAGAATTTACTTCAATTTTTAACTACCACCTGGAAAAAGTCTGAGCTGCTTTTCTTCACAAATTAGCAATTGCACGATGTACAAACACATCCTTGCACCAAAACCTTTTCCAAACCATGTATTCAGAGATGCTTCTTGCTATCCAGACTTAGTCACTAAGGATAATTCACCAAAACTTTAGGTTTTAAACAACACTTTTGCTTTTGCTGTTCCACACTGTTTTGTGCATCACAGTCTCTGTAGGCAGTCTCTGCATTACCTTTAGATAGATTCACACGTTTCTGCAAGCAAAGGGCAAGGACAGTAACACAAGACTTGCACAAATGCCAGCTGGCACCATGTAGGAAGCCAAGTGCTTTGGAGTACATCACTCTGGTGACTCATGGTGACTTCCTGGACTAATAAGAGTTCAAAGCAAACCTTCCTGATTAAAAAGAAATCCTAACAAATCAAACTTTCATAAAGAGCATATAAGTTCTGGCTGTACACAATCATTCATTTTGTCTATTCAGCAGTGAGACAGTAAAACGAAACAGATGAAAGACTTGTGGAGCTCAACTGTGTAAGACACATCAGGACACCAGCTCCTGTTTGAGTAAAATAACCCTCAATGCAACATTTAGCTACCAAGCAGTATTCTCACCTTGAAGCATCACTGCTGTAAACATCAACCAGAGGGAGATGGAAAGGGAGGACAGGCTATTTCTCTTCATTTCTGGACCTTAAATAAAGCTGTTCACTCAAGGGCACAAAAACGTTTATCACCATCCAAACTTAGCAAACAAACAAAAAATCAAGTTGCACAGCAACACAAAGATACTGAGGCACTGATGAGCTGCTAGAAGCACTTGGTCCTCCCTCAGCAGCTGTCAGTCCTGGAGCGATCGATGGTCTTTGTCCCTGCCACCGCCTGGGGCTCTGACAAACCCTCCCTCTCCCTGTAACCTGAGAGCTGTCTGCTCTGAAGCTAATGCTGAGGGAGAAGACAAACAGATAAGGTATCAGTAGGAAAACTATATTCCATTGCATTTTTTTTTTACTACAAGTGTAAGACTGAGAAATTTATGAAGAACTCTTTCAACATTTCTTTGGTGGGCCATGTTATACTGCCCTATGTTCAGCAATACCTTGCTCAGAACAAGCTCTGTGGAACCTGTGGACCCTCACAAAAAAGAAGTCTGCCTCAGTACTTTAGTAGGTATAGTCACACTGTACATCACACGCCAAAACCCCCACAGCCTACCTACTCCCATGCTGACAAAACAATGTTTTCACCTACCAAAGTGAAGAGATGCAGCTACACCAAAGTCAGACAACACAAGCAACATTTGCAGTAGTCCAATACTGCTGTGCAAACAAGGTGCAAACAAGAATTTCCACTGGTTTAGACAACTGAGACCGGTACTCAGCACAGTAAATCAGGAGCAAAACTGGACTCTGCAGATAAAACGTAATTTCCCAATACAGTACAATTTTTCCCAGGTGAACTTGACAAGACTTTACAAAGAATTACAGTTACTGAACAGCTCTTCCATTTAGCCAAGACTTACAGGAGAGAAATATGACTACGAAACAATACCACACCTGACCTCCCATCTACCCCGACAGAACTTCATTAGGTCTCACGTTGCCAAGTTAGTTTCATAGTACTGCAGGTATTTTCTTACAAGTTTCTCACAGACAAGACGAAATTACTTCTTCCCTTCCATAGTCCAAATCATCCTTCCTGATACACTGCTGTCCATTTTGCCATCCTTTTAGAACAGGTAACAAAACAGTCATTAAAATAGCAAAGTGAAAATATAGAATGAACTACCAGTCAAAATAATTGGTCCAGAATAGTTCTGATCCACACAAAATATAAATTACTGTTGCTTTACTCTTGTGTAGTCTTTTGGCTATAAGAAAGCTGATCCCTCCATACACAATTTCTATACAGTAGCACTCCCGGCACTCACTGGCTAATGTTTGTGCTTTCACGGGGGTCTATAAATCAATTACATTTATGGCCAGGTTTAATAGGTAAGCAATAAATAATTTCAGTCAAAGCGCCTGTAATGAAATCCATCTCTGTCACTTCATTTACTGAATTGTCAAAGGGGAAAAAAGTGGAAAACAGTTTAGAAGTCAAAAAGGTCAGAGCAGCCCATAGGCAGCATGTAATAACCTTTTTCTGTGTGAAGAAGGTATATGCTGTCAGAGACAACAAAAATCAGAGATGAAAGATGAAAGATTTTTGGATACAGTCAGATCAGTGCACTCTCAGGGGATACCTTTAGTCTACAGTATATTGCCATTATGTCAGCAAGTAGTTACTGCTTCATTTCTCTTACTGTAATTACAAGAGTGACCAGGGGTACTGCTTTAAGTGTGTTGCTATAAACACTACTGGAACAAAGACTAAGCTTGCTTTGCCACAGGCTTGAGACAATCTTGTGACCTGTTACACCAGTAATATGTCTGCCAAGCAGTGCAAACTGATGTACTTTAATTTGCATAAGATCACATATTTTAAAGAACCCTACACCTTTATGGCAATGCCATCATCTTGAAGGGAAACTGCAGGTTCTCAAAAGACAAAAACAAGAAGCATGCTTGGACATACAGACATGCAAACATGAGCACAGGTGCAAGAACACCCTTGTTATGTTTGAGATGCTACATTGATTACAATGTGTTTACAAAAATAAAACTAAGATACATCCAAAAGCCTTTTCAAAATTAAAGATACTAGATATTTAACAATCTCAGTATGCTAGGCCATTTGGCTTCTTTACATTTGTTCACAAGAAATATGATCTGTAATTTGAATCAAAATGTCCCTAATGTAGACATTTTATATGAAGAGCAAGTATTAACATGAATCACTATTCATTGATCTGAGAGGTTCATCTACAAAACCATGCTTCCTCAGAATCTAGTTTTAAATTGTGGCATAATCTACAGCAATAGTGCTCCCAGATCAAACATCCCATTTAACATTTGAATGGACCTTAAATTTATTCTTAAGCAGTTCTCTATTTTTACAGTAAGAACTTCTGCTATGAAGTCAGGAATTAATATAAAGTACGAAGTAGCTTACAGAGATAAATGAAGAAGAGTCATGAGTGTTTGGAAGTTAGAATCAAGCCATTAACCTCTCCCAGAACTAGACTCATTCCCAGCAAAATTCAAAGTTATCTTGTTGGAGTATGCTTGCCAGCAGATGGCCCTGTTAGCCAGCCTACTGATCCAACCAGACAGTGAAGACAATTTTTGTTTATCACACAGAAATCACATTGCATTTTAATCTACTTTGATTAATTTCACTGATTATTTGCCTTACATTTGATATAACACAAGCAGAGACAAGATGTTCTTTTAAAGAAAAAAAGATAAGCAGAAGGAACAAAACCGCTTCGTGGCTGAATCTGGCTGTCAAGTCTGCCTACCATACATGAGACCAGTCACGAGAGGGTTTCAGGGCAAGCACATATATATCATTGTCAACAACTGTACGATACAAAACTATATTTAGAGCACAGGCTGCTTCTGCTGATGCAGAGAGCAGTTGAGGCACATGGCACAATATCCAGCCCCACTTCCACATATTTTGTTCAAACATTTGACTTTGTGAGAATGCGTATGGGCTATTAATGGAGCACAACATTGTGTTTGTGCTTACATTCAGCA